AGCAGCTGCGTGTTTGTTTCCTCTCTGGGGTTTGAGTTCATGTGCTTGGCAACAGAAAGAGAGAGAAAACTCATCAAAGCTCCAAACTCTGAAGAATCAACTCTCTTGATTTTCRAATCTATTGTTTATCTGCCAGAACCAAAAAGCTGCTCTCCTCTTCTCTCCTCTCTACGGTTTACTGGGTAATTACTCCATTGTGTAAACAGCTATTTCAGTGACTGGGCCTTGGCGAGCCTGAAAGCGTTCTCCTGTCACCGGGCTCACATTTCTCTCCTCCTCTCTGTCTGAACCACAGCACCTCACTGCACATCCACTCCGACAGAGAGTTAATCTGGAGGAACCGAGGAAAATGACGGAAACAGCTGAGACTTTGCCTCTAGATCCAGATATTATGAGCCCTAAATCAAGATTTATGTTTTAAAATGAAACTAGAGTCCATAAATGCTGAGTCAGCTTGTCGACAAGCATAAAGCAGGTGAGCTGATTGACAAACTATATAACCAAGTGAGATTCAGAACCAGGAAGTAACTTTAGAAAACTGCACAAAAAAGATAAAATACAAACCGAAGTTCAGAATAATTAGCACTCAGGGGGGAAAATAAGAGGTAAAAAAAAAGTCAGAAGAACCATGAACTATAACATCATTAAAATATAAAACAGCTCTTGTTCCAGAGGATAGAAGGTAATATGTCTGTTTCATTCATRTACTCTTGGACCACATGTTTCATTTTTACACACATAAGCATGAGGCTCAATCTGCAGCGAGTAAACATTTAGTACACAAGCTTCAGATTTCTGTCAGTGTGAGCCCCCTATAGGACACACACATCTACTATCTCTATCCTTGTGGGGACTTTCCATTGACTTCCATTCATTTTTTGGAAATATTATATCCTAACCCTGACCATGTACCCTAAAATTAACCTCACAGGTCCCTACCTGACCCTAAAACTAACCTAAACTAAATTCACACCTTGGTCCTAAACCTAACCCCTCCACCCAATATCAGCCTCTGAAGTCATTGGAACCAGGCTTTGGTCCCTACAAGGAGCATTCCAGTCACCACAAGGCTGCATTTTCCTGAAAAAATCATCCCCACCAAGTAGCAAAAACAGGGACACACACACACACACACATATCTCCAGCTCAGACAGCAAAGAGCAGACAGGTTTAGTGTTTGCTCTGTCTGTCTGTCTCACACTTTGCTTCTCGTCAACCCAGTCTTTCCATCTGTAACTCTAGTCAGATCCCTGTTTCTGTAGTTCCAGCTTATGAGGGACAATAAAAGAAGAAAAGGAGAACAGCTACAGCACGTTGTTGTGAGGAACCTTTAAATGAGTTGGAGCAAATGTTCTTTTCCACGTGTTTTTAACGGTTGAACAAACAGATTCAGATGAAATTATACTTTTTCTTTTTCTCTCATTTGGTTTCTGTGTTAAAGACTGAAGAAAAAACTCCTTCAGGACATCCAGCTGTGGTCTAAAGTTCCTGGTGCTAATGAGTTGAAGTCCATGTTGAGTCAGTTTGATGTGATTCTAGAGTCCAGGGATCAGTAGCAGTAAAAGGTGCTGCCTGGTTTTATCTGTGTGGACATCAACTGGGCTGGTTGTTGGTGATTTTTCTGGAGGTAACTCAGGTTCACCACCACTGATCTGTCTGCATCCATGCCATCTTGGATACAGGTGGTAGAGACATTTTGGCATTGTAAGGCTTGGTCCAGGTTGTGTTTCCTTTAAGCAGAGAGCCGCCTCGTTGTGAGCAGGGAATCAAAACATTAAAAATGTACAAATCTTATTTTGCTTTATTTGTGACACAACAGCTGACGACATCGAGCTCGAAGAAAATGCACCGTAGACTGTACCGGACCATATGACACTGAAGACGAGAGGTCAAGATGAGAGGACACTAAGCTAATGGTAGCTAATGTTAGCTTGTTGTTTGTTAGCTTGTTACAGCTGTTAAGTTAAACGTGTGGAAAATAGCTACAGTCATTGAAAACATGTAAAGTGTGTGAAGTAACCCTATGGTCAATGAACCCATCAGAGGGCAACAGTAGCTAATGTCAAATCAGGCCGAGCAGCCTGACCTGAACAAAGCCACAGGTCTCAGGGGGGTTTCAGAAACTGGTCTGGAAATGGGTCGTATGGACTAATTTAAACACACACAACCCAGGTTTGAGGTCGGACCTTGCAGTGGAAACACATCATGAAGCTCGTTCTCCAAACATAGATTCAGCCTCAACCAAATATCTCTCCATTGCCAGTTCCAACCGGGCTTTTGGATCCTCCTCAGCTGTGGTTCAGAGCACAAGAAATTTTGACTTCAGCTGACTGCTGCCCATGGAGTGACATGATCGAAACAATTAGAGTGAGACTTGACAATGGAGATGAACAGTTAAAGGTCTCTGGTCTGGTCTGCAAACACCACGGAAATCTCCCAAAGAGCTGGAAGAGGTGACTGTGGAAAGAAAAGTGTCTCTCTGCTCAAGCTGCCTCTGTGACTCCACTCTGGAACACGTGGGAGAGGATGGATGGATGGATGGATGGATGGATGGATGGATGGATGGATGGATGGATGGATGGATGGATGGATGGATGGGTTGGCGGGTGGAAGGATGGATGGATGGATGGATGGTACAGTGTACATGAATAGCCACAGTTCTGCCTGCCAGTGTTGACTGTATTTGTAAAGGATTAGATCAGGTCTGAACAGACCAGAAGGCTCATATCGATCCATTTTTGCATAGGGGGTTTAAACCGTCCAGCCCCCCCCCCCTCCCCCCAGGGGAAGGTAAGAGGAGGTCGATTCCTGCCTCATCGTGGCGTCTTTGTTCCTGTCTGAAGTGGGCGAAGGGTCCAGCTGGGTGTCTCATCAAGCCTGCAGACACACGCCAATATTTGGGTGAGAGAGGCGAGAGCAGCGTCCTTCTCCGTTCCACCTCACTGCCTCCTTTCTGAGTTTACAAGAAGCCATACCCCCCCACCCCCCACATTGAAACCTCGCACATCCAGTATCCTGATTATTATTTTCAGCGTCGTTTGTCTCTGTCTTTGTTGTTTTGTCTCTGATGTCCTTTTGTCTGGTTTATTTGCTGCTCTGTAATTGTGTTGTGAGGAAGATCGGCCTGAAATTGCCCAGTTTGTGTATTTTGCATGACAATAACAGCAACTGAAAAGACCCACTGTCCGGTGACAGGTCTTCTTTTCAGTGACGGGTGTTTCATCTTTTCACGGTGTCTGCATTGTGTTGAAGAACCCATAAATTAACCTTTTGATGATTCCCCCACCCCACTCCCCCCCCCACCCCGTTCTGGCCCACATACTTGACTGGACACAGACTGTTACTGGCCTGATGTCACCGAGCAGAGGGCCGTTAGAGACGCCTTTTGTTGACATCCAATTAATGGAAGTCTTTGAGGTTTTTCAGCCTTTTTTTAAAAAGGGATTCTACAAAACTTCTGTTATATGTCACTTATTTTACACTTATTTTAAACAACACATCACTTATTTTTAAGAAGAAAAAAAAATACAAACTTTAAATAACGAGCTGTTCAATAAAACATTGAATACAATTTTTTTAAATACAATATTTGTACATGAGTTTTTTATTTTGAGTGTTAAAACATGCAAAGTTATGAGATAAGTAGATTGTATTTAGAAAAGAGATATTTCAGACTTTTTAAAGAAGCTGATACCCAGTAAGTATCTGACTTGTAGATAGCTGTGTTAAACAAGCTCAAATGACACGAGGCTCTTTCATAAAGATTTTGTGAAATAAACACTTTTGCGTAGTTCTTGGTGTAGCTGGTTGGTTAACGATGATTCAAACCTGTTATGTTTTGCCATTTTAAGTGTAAGTTATTTATAAAAACAGAGCAGGCAGAAAAATGAGTCCAAGCAGCCCACAACCTGACTGAGAACATTTGTATAAATATTGTTTATAGTTTAATATGCTTATTAAATTACATTATTCTGGAGATGTTTGCCTTCTCACTACTGGAAAGGTTGCAGGCAACTTGAATCTGTCAAGAGGTTTGCTTCTGTCAACCCCCTGGAGTTTACGTCTGAGTGGGGTCCGACCAAAATCAGTTTTCTGCAGAGCTGCACAATATATCGTTTGAGGATCATCATCACAGCGTACGTGTGCAAGATAGCCGTGCGACGTAGGAGGCAAATTAAATCAATGTGTTATCTGGGGTCTAAACCACTAAACCAAAGTCTCTGCACTAAAACGGTCATGTGTTACGCTTTTATTTTGGCGGGTTGTTACCACTAGCAGAAGAGGATGGCTTGGTGTTAAAAAAATATTTTTGTTGTGAAACTTCTGGGACAATAATGGCAATGATTTTTGGAGAAGTGTTAGTAAATTGTTGAGATGTGGAGGAAGACGAGCAAATTCCCAGAGAACCGGAGGTAAAATACGGTTAAAGCATGACGGAAACAGAAACTAAAGAGGCAACATATATCACAGGGTTTTTCCAATATCATGCAGCCCTGATCTGCTGCCATCTTAACATCTCTTAAAATACAAGCTCTGTTCGATTTCAATCGTTTTTGTCAAAATCTTGTTTATTGGAAAGTTTGGAGCTGCAGAATAAGAAGTTACAGGTTGTATCAGGAAAACAGATGTATAGTTGGATACATCAGTGGCATGCACAGAGCATAAACACAGAACATGGGGCGGCTGTGGCGGAGTGGTTAGGGGAGTTGTCCTGGAACCGGAAGGTCGCCGGTTCGATCCCCATTCAGTCGTTGTGTCCTTGGGCAAGACACCTTACCCGCCTTGCCTACTGATGGTGGTCAGAGGGTCCAGTGGTGCCTGTGTATGGCAGCCTCACTTCTGTCAGTGTGCCACAGGGCAGCTGTGGCTACAATTGTAGTTTGCCATCATCAGTGTGTGAATGTGTGTGTGTCTGCAGTGTGAAGCGCTTTCAGCGTCCTGGATGGATAGAAAGGTGCTATGTAAGTACAGTCCATTTACATGGAAAGAAACAGGATTTGAACGTTTGCTACAAAAATTTTTTTTAATGTTTTGATAATTCACTCTAGCCAAATCCGGGGTTAAGACAAAGAAAGAAAAAGTTAAGACAAACAAGAAATTACTTTAAATTTGTGCAAAATCAGAGGCATCTACAAATTCATTACAAATGAATGTACAACTGTACACAAAGACTTCCATTACAGATATTTATAAAGTACAAAAAAATGTATTATAGCTACTTCAATTCAAAATAACTCTAAAATTAGCTAAATGTTGCCGTATGTTGAGTTCTAAACATTTTCACTTAGCAAAACAACACATTTTTTTACATGACAGAAACAGTACATTCACAAAAAATAAATAAAATCAAGAAAGTCAAACAAAAGATGTAACCCTTCCTTGAACGTATACAGGCAAGAATAAAGAAAACCCTGAGACATAAAACTGACAAAATCATAGTTTTTTTTGAGAAGTATCTCCTTCAGCCCTGATGGGCAATACTCTCAACGTAAGCTTGTTTTTTTTTTTTTTAAGTTGTGGAGGAAAGTACAAATTTAGCTCACCAAAATTGAGGGAAGCCCAAGTCCAAACGCTTAAAATACATACAGGAAGAATATTTCGGTGCACAAAATCATACACTTCCACAAAATGCCTCGGTCTCTTCTCCGAACGCCAGGCTTAGCAAAAGTCCAGTTTTAGCCTCCCGGCAGTCCAGATGATGCACACCTGAGTACACGAGTCAGGAGGGGGGCAGAAAGTGAACACGTCTCGCAGGGTTCGTCAGGGCTGATACAGTCACAGTAGTTTCATTTGTCCCAGCAAGAAAGAAGAAAGTTTGCAGGTCTTTTTTTTTTTTTGGAGCGGAGATGAATGCGAGATCCCTGCGGTTGGCATGGCAACCAGCCCTGCTCAGACAGCGGGGGCCGCATGGGAAAGTTACACAAGGAGCTCGACGAGTAAACAGATCAGGTGGGAAGAGGCCGCAGACTTTCAGTCTCTGGGCTCTTTACAGGCCTTTGCCCCCCAGCTGAAAATCCATCAGGGAGGATGGAAGCCGCAGTAAGAACACACAAACCCCTTCTTCTTCTTCTTCTTCATCCTCCCTCCTCCTCCTCGGAATCAGTGAGGAGAGACACAGTTCTGCATACCAGACACCATGGCTCATCTGGGGGGAGAAAGAAAGAGGGAAATTAATGTTTATGTCCTGTGAGCTCTGCTGTACAGTCTGTGTGAAAGAGGGGACATGACCAGAGGAGGATCAACACCTCATTTTATCAGCATTATTAACATTTTAGGAGGAGATATTATTTAACCAAACCACCCACACATGAGGGATTAAGCTGACTTTACCCAGCTATAGTTCAAGTAGCATATTTTCTGACAAAGGCTGTGATGAATTTTTTGGATTTTCCTCTGCAACCTCAGATAAACTCTTAACGTACTGCGCTGCGAAGGAATGTTCCCCCTGGTTATTCAGGAGGGGATTGGAGGGAAGCTTAACCGTGTCGTTTGACTCTGATTTGCATGTTTCTGTTGACAGCTCTGCTCCCTGTAAGAGGAAGAGCAGCCTCCATATTCAGGCTCTGCAGTGGTGCTGGTGGTGGTGGTGGGGCGCTGTTTGGATTAGCTCATGAGCTCTCATTGTCACGGCTGCAAAAAAGCCGGCAGACATTATAGAAGGTTTTGCTGACTCATACGCATCCTGTTGCAAAGTTGGGAATATTTTGTCTGAAGCGTTAGTGGAACACAGGTGGAGCATTGTGTTGCTGGAACAACTGGGGGGGAAAAACACGAGCTCACAAACAAGCTTCAAATTCAAACTTGGTGATAAAAACAGACATTATGCTTGAGAATTTAAACTTCTTTTTAATATATATATATATATATATATAT